ATTTCAAGACCTGAGGTAACAATGCAACACAAAAATAATATACAGGTAATCCTTGATTTACATCCATTTGCTTAGTGATAGTTCCAATGGCATTGAAAAAAAGTGACTTATGACCATTTTTACAATCTTCGTAGCAACCCAATGATCATGGGATCAAAATCCAGACGCTTGGCAACTGACTCATATTTATGATGGTTGCAGTGCCCTGGGGTCAGGAGATTGCCTTTTGCAATCTTCTGATAAGAAAAGTCAATGGAGAAGCCAGATTTACTTAACAACCATGTTCATAACTTAACAACTACAGGGATTCACTTAACAACTATGGCAAGAAAGGTTGCAAAATGGGGCAATATTCCCTCAACAAGTATATCATTTAGCAACAGAAATGTGGGACTCAATTGTGGTCATAAGTGGAGGACCACCTGTATTGAAATAGGAAGGAATCCCTGATTCTCCTGCATGTCAAGCAATATGGTTGATCTCTTTCACAATATTAGCAACATTTCTAGTGGCTTTGCAAATCCAAACTGGAGTATTCAAGCTATTTATTTAAAAAGTGGACTGGTTGTCGACGTTCCAGGCACACAACCAACCTTGTGATCTTGATCTAGATGCCTGAACTTTGCTCAGTGCTTAAGTAAGCAGACTTAGCTGACAGAAGTGAAAGTTTGACTGCAAACACGGCATTACTCAGCTGGACACCAGCTCTCCCTGAGCCATGGATTCTAATTACATGTTTTGCCACTGCTGCCAATGATTCTCATACTTGCATTTCTGCTTAAACAACCTCAGAAACAGTAATTTTTTGTTGTTGTGGCTTTATAATAATTAGACAAGAGGTAAATAGTGTTTAGACTGTCTTGTCTAAACTTCCCTTTATTGTTTGGGGGAGTAATACAGGCTCATGAAACAATGATTTCCCAGCAAGATCAGGATTATCCAATCTGAAAAGTACCCAGAAGGAAGTGGAACCTAAGAAGCTCCCAAAAAACAGAAGAGAAAGTTTGTGGTACTGCTGCTGCCTGCCAATAGCTTGTGGAAATCATGTGAACTACTGGCAGTTGTTCCCAACTTTGCCTCCTTCCTCAGTTTTCCTGGACACTTCACCAGAAACAGAAGAAGTATTTGCTAGGTATCGTACAATAGCAATGTCTAGGAAGAATAAAACTCATTGGCAGTTCCAAAGTAGAAATACTCTTAGCTGGACTGAAATTTTTCCTATATAAAAGGACTTCTTGGACATTTGGATAGACATCTGTTACCAAAGTGGGCTGCCCAAAGTACCAGATCTTCCTAAGAATGCAGATGTGAGAAACACGATCTTCAAGAGTTCACCACAATTAAATTGGATTCAATTCTGCTTGTGTTTCATGACTCTCAGATTTTGGCTATTTTGCCACCACATTGACACCAATAGCACCATCACAGACCCCAGAAACTTCACATACAAGCTTAGAGGTGCCTTAATTTGACAAATGTCATCATCTGACAGCAATGCTCTTCCAAAATCTATGCAGGACAAATGAGCCAAGTTTTGCACAAGTTTGATTCAAAACAAGGACAAAGTAATATCAGATCATTTTAATACCCTAGGACATTTCATTACCGTTATGGTACAAAGAAATTTCACAAGCACAATGAATTGAGGAAGACATTTGCCAGCATTCAGGACTTAGAAGGTCTCAACACATCTAAGAGGTTTTTATCATATTACAGTTACTGTCCCCTACTGGGTACTTATAGCCCCTCTTTGAGGGAAATGGGCAGTTCAGAAGTTTGATAAATCAATCAATCAATGATGAGTCACTTTTAACTGTTTCACAAGCATCCTGCATCTTGCACAACCACCCTGTATTCCCCCACCTTTTCCCGCTCCCCATATCATTCCAGTTTAAATCCCACTTCGATTTCCCTATGCATCAATGAAAGAAAGACGTGAAAGATGCATTCCTTAGCTTTCAGAATTATTTATAAAAATCTTCTACTTGATCCACAAGAAGGCATTGTATTATTTAATTTAGGTAATACCACCCCAAAAAAGTGAAAATCACTTTGGTGTAGTAGTTAAAGCACCAGGCTATAAACCAGGAGACTGAGTTCCAATCCTGCCTTAGGTATGAAACCAGTGGGTGACCTTGGGCCAGTCACTCTACCTCAGTCTTTGAAAGCAAGCAATGGTAATTCACTTCAAAAATCTTGCTGAGAAAATAACAGGCACTTGTCCAGGTAATGCCAGGTACTGACTTGAAGGGACCAAAAATAACAACAAAAACAGCAACCTTATCAGCTGCAAGAATCATACAAATGAAGTATTTATATATCATCTTTTACTTGTGTTGTATGATTCTAAATATTTTATTTGATTCTAAGGTCATTTGATTCATAAGAGTCATATGGGCTTAAAATCCTGATGTAATTTGAAAAGACTGATATATTTATTTCTGCAAATTTCAGACCATTTCAGTTCTATATAATATACACAGGTTTGATTGTATGTTTTTTTTATTTCTGCCACTACAGATGTATATCATAACAGTCTTCAGTTTTCAAAACATCTACTTAGGAAGAAGCTGAAACAGCATTAGTGTACAACTCAGACATTACCACACTAAAATTGGACAGCTTGCTTTATGAAAGGGCACCTAGGAAGTAGTTTTTCTTGTATTTTACAGTTTATTTTTGAGATGCTTTTGTGCGGGACATCTAAAAGCATATGTGCTATTAATCTTGTTATATTAAATAAAAGTTGTAAGGTCAAGAGAAAAATGATAGTAAGCTGAATGTAGTGAGAATGGTTTTATTTAACTAGTGTAAGAGAAAAGGGAAAAGAACAGATAGAATCAAGTCAATCAAGAATGGGTGCTGAATGAATGCGAAAACAAAGTGGGTGACCCATATGAATGAAATATGCAATAATGAGTTAGCCTGAGCATATAGAGAAAATGGTGATCAAATCACACACACACACAAAAGATGAAGGGTGAATAAATGTATTGAGAGAAAGAGGAAAACGAAGAAAAGTATATTTGGAGAGTGTTGATGAAATCCTAAACAGAAAGAATACAAAACATAGGGAAATTATGGATGTGTTCTCGAGGGGTTTGTAAAGACAGAAAGAAATTGAGAAGTATCATAAATAGGTTGGTGTAAAACACATTCAGCAGCATTCCCCCTCCTCCCACATTATCTATGACTTCTATTTCTTTGGCTTATCATTTCTTTCTTTCCACATTTGTCATAAATTGATCAGTCTCAAAGGCAATAGTGTGAAGTGTATATTTGGGTGTACATCTAGGCATATATATTTTAGAAACTTAAATGGGAGAATAACACGCTGTAAAATAAAGTACAACCTAGTGCGTCTTATTCATTTCCTAATATGGTTTAGCATCTCACACAAACCCTTTAGGGAGCATTTCTTTCTTTGGAAGCAAGCCCATCTGCCCAGAAAAAAATATAAGTTGATGTGGTGAGGAACAACTTCCCAATTTCTCCCAATGTAAATGGATATTTTATTACTGGCCATATTCAGTGCGGCAGCCATTTGCGAGGCTGTACCAACTGGCCCCAAAAGATTAGAGGTCTCTGCTTTATATGTTCTCACTAAACATGAACAAAGGGACATTTAAAATGAGCAAGAGTAATTTTATGTCCTATATAGCAGGATAGTGGACTTTTTCAAAGCTGAACCTTCTACATGTTTTAGATTACAACCTTCTGGTGTAACCCGAAACAGCTCAAGTAGAATTTTGTTACTATCTAGAACAGGGGTCTTCAAACTTGGCAAGTTTAAGACTTGTGGACTTCAACTCCCAGAATTCCTGAGCTAACATGACTGGGAGAGGAATTCTGAGAGTTGAAGTCCACAAGTCTTAAAGATGTCAAGTTTGAAGACCCCTGATCTAGAATGACATATATTAACATTAATGTGTGCTAAAGCAAAATATAAATCACTTTCTTCTCCATTCTTTATCCAGAGTTTAGATCACTTCACTTCATGATTCTTAGCGCATCTTCTCTGCTACCTCTAACCTGCCTTTTTTTCCATTCTTTTTTTCTTCCCTACATTTTAGGCCCACAGAGCAAACATGAAATGCTTGTAACCTGCCAAGCATTACTGCAATCAAACCACTACAGAAATCAATTAGGGATTCAATATAATAAGGTTTTGGTATAAACTGGAATCAGTTAAATCTCCCAGGATCCCATTAACAAGGAAATTAATGAATAAATGAATCAATCAATTAAGAGGACACAGAATATGATCAGGAAATTAGCAACGTACCAAAACAGGTGCATTTTACCTGGGTCAGATATTATATTGCTTCGCACTAAATCAAGAAATAGAGCTAAGTAACTCATCTCACAATCTTCTAATTATTCTCCAGTACTCATAGCATAACTTTATGTCAGTATCCATAAAAACAACACATTATCCATTGCCTTCCAATTAAACCTATACCTCTCCAACCTGTTGCATTCAGTCATTCACCATTCAGAGGAACTAATCTGACTTAATTTTAAACAGTTGTATTCAAATGAAATATTTGAGCCAAGCTGTCCCAAAGGTGCTTTTTTCAAAAGGCAACTGGACTTTGTTTTTCAAAGTCTAGTTGCCTTTTGAAAGAAGCATCTTTGGGACAACCATAGCCTGGGTGACTGAGAATCTCCATAGACATTTGAGCCAAGCCTTCTCACATTGAAAAGAGTAATAATGTATGAGTAACTCTGCAGTAGGAAATTTATGTTTGTTAAATAGATAGCTAGAAATAGATATAAATGCACAGAAAGGCCATGTTTTGCTATTTTCAGCTATTGATACAAATAAGAGTGAACACCACGACCCACACCTTAAATAATAAAGTCAATTTACCAAGAAACCAGATTTCTCCTCAAAAGAGACTCTTCAATTTTCTTATCCACACTTTATTACCATGATTCATTCTTTAAAATATATTATCTTTTTCTTTAAAAACAAAGGGAAAGGGAAATAAACTTACCTAGCATCTCCTTTTGAAAGGTTAGTGTTCACAGGATGAAGAATAACTTTGTTTGTCTCCACATCTACCACACATTTTGTATGCAGATCTATTTCTATTATGAGAAAAAAGGGGATAAACATGTCAAATGCCATTTTTAGAACCATAGTTTTTTAATATTACACCCTGATCATTTCTATTTTGCTAACCAATTTGTCCCCTGATTATCTATAACTGCCTATCAGGATATTCAGCTTTATATTTGTTCTAAAAAAAAAGAGTTACAGCAGCCTTCCCAAATCTGCCATCACCCACATCTGTTGGATTGCAACTGTCTGCATTCCACTAGTATGGCTCCAATAAATGAGGGGAACTTTTATCTAACAGATGAAGAGAAGGGACCAATTTTGGGGAAACTACTGCAGGCTTCTTTCTGTTGCTCCTCCCATTTCCAAAAAGATAGTTGTATAGAATCTGCAGAGACATTCTCAAGGACTGTGAAGGAACTGTAAAGTTCAAAAATAGAGAGGAAGGAAGACAAAAGCTGTCACACAACAACTGTTTAGATTAGGTAAGTGGGAAAAGGACATTTCCTCTCTAGTTTCAATATATTTTGTCATTGTTACATCCAGAACAAAAATACTTCCTTAATGTAAAGAACCGGTTTTACATGAACATTTTATCAAACAATGTAGGAAAACACAGAGCAAATATTCTCATAGATCTGACAGTCAGACCAAAACAAATAAATAATACTGGATTAGACAGACCAACTGTGAATGACTGGTACAAGTTTACCTAATAAAAATGGTGCAAATTTTAAAAAAATGGTGCAGCCATGTTCTCTGCAGGCAGCTGTTGATGACGATTAACAGGCCCATAGCGGGCAGGGAAGCTCGTAAATCCTGAACCAGTAGTTAACCCTGCCATATCCCACCCCTGATGAGGATGATAGTCCCCCTTTGTTGCTCAACACTTCTCAAACTTTGTGTAAGCTGAGCCTCCATGCAGAAAGGACACTGAAGGTGAGGACACTGTATACATCTACAGTATCCTATCTTGACTGCAGCTTTCAAATTTTCACATTTGCGGCTGAGGAAAGCTTTGAATTGCTAGATATCAAGAAACATATATCTTTGTTTCACTACAGAGAAGTTGGGAACAAAACAATACATATTGGAATTGCAGGATATTGTCAATAATATTGAATCTATACTGCAGGTTCAAGTCTGTATCATTTACATTTCTACAACTGTAAACCCAGTTAATTGAAAATCCACCTTTTAAAACATCCATCCACAAACTAGTTTTATTGGCAAAAAGAAAGAAAAGATGGGGGAATCATTGTCTTCTAGAAAAAATGAAGTATAATCTGGTATTTGAATCATTTTAAACAAGCAGCAGATAAACATTCCAAATTAATAGTACCTGAACATTTTTAGCTTACACTAAAGAAATCAAATATATTCCTGCTTCTTCTTCTTTTGCATTTGCAAATAAGAGCTACTCAAAGGGAGAAGGAATTAGCTCAAACAAAGAATAAATTTTCTGATTGAATATAAGATGGAAGGGGGAGAAGGTAACCTAAGGCAACATATTAATTATTTTCAATAAACATAAAATAGGGCATGTGGCAAGCACTTCAAATATAAAAATAGCTTTTCAAAATATCCACCCTGGAAAACTGTGGGTAGGTTTCTTATAAAATAATTTTAGATTCCCTGAACTGAATAGGATAACCAAAATTATGTATTTTATGCAAATACTATTAATATTAAAACATAATTATTAAGATACAAGCAACTTCAAATCATACAGACACATGATGCAAAATGATTTACAATCTAGCCAAGGCCTGAGGGTCAAATTTTATGAAGGACTCCATCAAACTAGTAAACATTAAAAAACATGACAAGAAGATCAGAAGATTGGCAATTGAAGTCTATGAGAATGAGATTTGACTATGATGGTAAATAAGTGATAATATACTTGAATCCCTTGGAGCAGAGGTCTCCAACCTTGGCAACTTTAAGACTTGTGGACTTCAACTCCCAGAATTCTCCAGCCAGCTCTGCTGGCTGGAG